TACATACATACACTGATACATTCACATATACATACATACACACACAAACACACACACATACACACACACAAACACACACACATACACACACACACACACACACACACAACCTTTGTTATGTGCTTATGTACACATGTTCTACATGCTCTTCATCAAACGAGTGTGTTTCGACTCTGAGTTTTGTCGTCCAGCTTTTTTTAAACGAGAATCCCAGGAGAAATTCACATATAAATTTTAAAGCCTTTTTAAAAGTTATCATGACTAACATAGAAACTGTAGCGTCTTGTACGAGGAAAGTAAAAAAATCATTTTGGTCCAGCCATATTCTTATTGATATTTCACAGCCCACAAAGGAGGAGGGAGGGTGGTTGGGGGTAGTCATCTGTTTGTGTTATGAGTATGACTATTTTGTGGCACAATAACAGCTCATTGTTAATACATCGGTCAAATAATAGATCTAACACTAAGTAAACAGCAACTTTTTTAAATAACTGTGGAGGTCGTGTAAAAAAATACAACCCAGGGCGGAATGAGTTTTTGATTAAAAAGTAAGTTTTTTATGTTTTCTAGCTCAATTTATCACATGGTGCTATTGACATTGCTTTAGAAATTATGGTTAAATATGGGAGTAATTATCGCTCGTAGCATCAATCAGGCATTGGTTCATACCTTGACTAAATGAAATTCGCCACTGAAACCAAGATGAAATATTCAGTTTCCTCATTTACATCGTATGGCATTCCTGTTTCTTCCAGGAAGGGTTCAGGAAGGGTCAGCCTTTCATCCTGACCGTACTAGCCATGACAACCGGCGAGCTGAACTTCAGGGACAACTTTGTCTTGCCTGACAACACCCCGTTCTCGATTGACTTGTACATAATGTTCTCCTTGTTTTCTCTGGTTATGCCACTGTGCTTAACGAATCTGATGGTGAGCTTGTTAACTGATTTTTAAATATTAACTAAATTGACATCCTTCTGAGTTAATACTTACTTGTTGCTTCAAAGGGATATCAAGATAGATTTATTTTAAAACAAGCAAATTTAGAAAGGGAAAACTGTTCAGCTGTGTCGTTCTGTCTCAAGTTCAATAATTCCACCACAATAATTAATTAATCAAACCATTACACAGCACAATAATATTCTCTTCACACATGTACCTTTTAGTGATCATCTTGGTAGATGGTTATTTTAGACTTTTGCCCGTTTTGCTGCAAATCTATACAAGCCTTTTCTCTTTGGTGATCAAACGTCTTGTTACTACCTGTTCATTAAGAATACAACGATAATAAATCAGGTAATAAAATAGTAGATCCCAGTATTTCCCAGTGTCTTTGAGCAAGGAACAGAATTCACAACTCTAAGAAAGATGATGGCGCACAGAAATGATGCACTACTAATTTGCTATGTGATGTTAATTCTAATGCGTACCTTTGTAAAAGCAAATCTTTTAGCGTAAAGCTAAAAGTTGTCTTTTGTTTTAAATGTTGTTTAATTAACTCTGTAGTTGGGACAATATTCTTTTCCCATCTCAGATCGGCGTTGCTGTGGGTGACATTAACAAAGTGGAAAAAAGAGCCTACCTGTTGAGGCTTAAAACTCAGGTAATTGAATATTTTCCCTTGACAAGTTGTTCTTTTCATCCGCTTTATGGGCTTGCTCGGAAAATATAATTGGAAAGGCTTTATGCAAACATTCATTCCAAAATGCAATAGAAATTAAATACGTTTTAAAATAAAGTTTAAAAGTTCCAAACATGACACATTAGTAATTGCTACTGTTCATCTTTCAAAATAAGAAGAAAACAGTAACATTTTCTTCAAAGATGAGAGGCACGTCTTTTCCCCACAGTTAAACGTCATTTACGTGATGGACCATACCGATGTCATTCTCGGAGTGATATAGTCTAATAAATAATTATGGCGAAGTTTGGATTGCTCCGCTTATGATTCGTCTCTTCATGGGTCGCTCACATTGATGTTTTACGTTTGCTTGTGATAAGATGGTGCGGATTCTTTGAAACGAGCAGAAACATTAGTAGCGTTTTAACGTGTTCTGTAATTTATGATGACGCTGATATTGCTGGTTTTAAAACACACTCTACCGTAACATCAAAAGACGACTTGAGCAAATAGCTACATACCGCTATCATAGAATGACAATTAACACAGTTCCATTTGATATTTTTGGCCATTTTTTAATTGCTAAGACCTTGAGGTCAGATACCAAAAGTTATATCTGCTCTATCAAAATCTTAAGATTATTCGTAGTTGTTATAACAATTTTCAAATAATTGTATTCGAAAAAGGTTGCTATAGTGAAACTCAAAAATATTTGACGTAACATTTATCAAAACTAGCTACTGAGCAGATAGAATTTTGTAATTCTAGGGTAGAAATACCTCTGTGCACAGAGGAAAGGAGAACAATTGGATCCAAGAGAAGAAGAGAAATGTGGCGGTATCGAAGGACAAAGGGAGTACAATATATATAT